TAAGATAAAATATAAAATAAGAAATAACAGGTAACTTCATGATATACCCTTAAAGTGTTATATACAGAAAATAACAAATAAAATAAAATAAAAATTGACCAACTTTCAACTTTTTATCTTGTTTTATTCAATTTTATGTGAAAAAGGATGTGCGCATGGTTCGGTGTATCAATTTTTCGTCAGCTGTTTTTGAAAAATGGGAATATGAAATGTTTAGAAATCCAGTTGAATGGGCGCATGTGCAAATAGTATATTGTTTTATTAGGAGTAAAAGTAGCTTTTACTTTGAATAGAACACGATATTTTTTCTTCAAACCTGTCTGAATAATAGAAAAAATCGAAATTTTCTCAAATATTAATGATTTTACCGAACAATCCACCAACTAGGTGACAAAATGTCAATCTTTGCGTTGTTATGGCAAATATTCACAAGCGGAGGTAAAAGTCTTTTACTTCCGTTGTCTATGGTGACCGTCAACTGACATAAAAGAAAAGTTAAACTTTAACATCATGAAATTAGTAGATAAATGTCAGGTTTTCTGACGTTTGAAGAAAAACATATTTCTCTATTGGTCGAAAATTAGGTCTGTTCGCACAGAAATCACAAACCAGTCAGGACGAATTTCATTGGTTCAAAACAGTCAGAAAACTATATAGTTTCAACCAATGAAACTCACTCTGACTGGTTTGTGATTTCTGTGCGAACAGATCTATTATTTCTTATTTTATTTTATTTGTCTCTATAAACGCCAATGCATTAACTATGACGTATTTGTTATTTTTACCTTATGTTATCTCTTTTTTTATTTTATTTGCTGTATAAATCCAGCTTCAAAAGTTGAGCAACATTCTTATTTCTTATGGTATGTTATTTTCTGTATAAACGCCATAAGGGGTTTCCATAAGGTCAATTTTTTATCCCATGTTATGTTATGTGTTTGTATAAACCGAGGGGGAAACCACCTACCTAATTTTGTACACCAAAAATTCTAAAATTCTGAAAAATGCTAATTTTCATGTTATTATTGTCCCAAAAAATTCTAAAAATTCTAAAATATTCTAGAAAATTCTAAAAAATTCTAAAAAAATCTAAAAAAACCCAACAAATTGGGCAGGCTCTTGAGCATGCGCAATAGATAAAAATTCTAAATTATTTCTAACAAATTCTAGTTTAATTCTAAAAAATACTGAATAACTCTAGAAATTGCTAAAAAATACTAAAAAATGCAAAAAAAATACTGATAATTCTGAAAAATTCTAAAAATCCTATCAGTTTGTACAGGGTGATCTATTATAAATGTCGACCCTGCTAACTTTATCATTTGACAGAAGTGTCAATTGTCAAATACAAAAGTTTTAAGAAATTATCATTTTTTTTTAACTAAGTTAGTTTTAGGAATACAGGGTGCGTCAAAAAAGTGCAGCAGTGTGAAGTTATATTTTTTTAAATGGAACACCCTGTATATTGTACGCTTATTTGTTAGTCCCCTTACCAGTTCCAGCACCATACCAGATAATATGATTTCAACGATATACGGTTTGATATGTTTATCTCTCTGTTTATCTTCAATAGTTATAGGGAAAAACCACTGATCTCAAAAATAAATGGATAAACAAAGAACGCTTCTAATGCTGCAAATTTACGAGGTCGAAATCTAAACAAAAATAACTGGCTGGGACAGCCGTGAGCGTGCGCCGTAGATACATGTATTGTGCGTGCACAAAATCTGGCCAATGAAAATGAAGGAATTTCAAAATTTAGAACAGTTGTTCGAAAGATAAGACACTGCGCAGGCGTTAGGCTGTTCCGTTGCACAACTGTTCGTAGAATATTGACCCCAAATTTTCGCACAAATTTTGCCAATCAAGCCGTATGAATTGTTTATCCATTTATTTTTTAGATCAGTGGGAAAAACGCGAAATCCCTTGCTAGTTCTCTGAAGTTATTTTTTCAAAAATAATAGAAAATAATAACTGGATTTATTATAATATGATATTTCACCTTGTATATTAATGAATAAAACTTGAACAATAAACTGTTCATAAAAAAAATTCTCTAAAGCTTAAATGGTATAATTTTTCTTTTTTCAATATGAAACCTTGAAAGGAGTTTTCATGTATTTCCTTATAAATATCGAAGATAGACATCAAATCGTATATCGTTGAAATCATGTTAAAAGGGACTAACAAATAAGCGCACAATATGCAGGATGCAGGGTGTTCCATTTAAAAAAAAAAAACTTCACACTGCTACACTTTTTTGACACACCCACACATGGTCGCTCGCTGAAATACCATGTTGTTGGTATTGTCCAGGTAGCAATATTGTCAGCTGAATATCGAATTTATTGCCAGTGTAATACACTTTAGTGAAATAGTCACCGCTATGCCTTTGCAAGTTATCGTAAAAACTGAAGTAATGGCATGTAATATTGACAGTTGAATTGAAGAGGGCGCTTCTGTACTTGAAGCTCTTTAAATTTTGGCGCGTAAATAATCGATTGTAATTTTCACCTCAAAAGTTAACTTTGATGTGTGGTTTCAAGACAAGCTGACGCTGACACCTATAAAAATATTCTCTAAGGGCCACTGAACGCTTTGGAAGATAATTTAACTTATTCATTATCCATTGTTCATATGTAGTCATCTTTCCTTCTACTTATTTAAGCGGTTTAAAACTATTGACATTTACCGCCAAAATTTGAAGCACCCCAAGTTCACTCGCGCCCTCTACAAAATTTTGGGGAATTTTACTGGATATTTGCTGCCATTTTTAAACTTTTTTTCATTTATATTTGATTTGTCACTTGTTTATCTAAACATGTCTGCTCCATCAAATAAACTGCCAAGAAAATTAATTGATACTAGCTTTGTTCCAGCACGTCAAAAAGATGACAAAAACATCAATACCAACAAAGACCTACTCTGAAAGGTCGGTTTTTTGACGTTTGTTGTGTTACGAGCGGTGTTGCCATATATTTTTTTTTAAATCGCGAGCCCGCAGGGCCGGGGTTTTTTTTCAATTCCGCGCCCGAAGGGCGAGGGTTTTATAAATATTCATGCGTATTACTCTTGCCCTATAAAATCGTGATTTAAAAAAACCCTGGCCCTAAAAAAACTCTGCGAGCTCGCAATTTATGGCAACACCGCTCATAGCCCAACAAACGTCAAGAAACTGAGTTTTCAAAATAGGCCTTGTTTTTTTTTGACAGTTGACACCAAAAAGACAAGATTACTACTTATCAAAAACTTAGGAGGCTTTGGAACCAACCCTGGTTTTGATCGATGTCGATAATACAGATAACTGTAAGCGAAAGATTTATCAAACCAAATAGGCTTTGGAAACATATATTACGATCAAGGATGATACACACTACTACTACAGGATGGTCTATCTTCATAAGGCCTGTGTGGAACAAATTTCCTCTTTCCCCCCATAATGCCAAATTGCCAGTTGTAACTAGTAGGCAGCATGCTATTTTTCGATGTAGGTTGTTTAAACCTAAGGTTCAAACACCTGAGGACTTAGTTATGACGTCGACAATGGTAATACACCAATATGGCGACAATTACCAAAAACTATTTTTGGATAATATATTTGTCCTTGTTTGATACATTTAGATTGATTTTCTCTCGAAATTATTCGCCTACTTTTCAAATTCCACACATAATATTGGTGACGTCATAGATTCTAGAAGTCAAATGTAGATAAAATATTGTCAAAATATTACAGAGCTCTGTATTACCGGCCCAATGTTGTCAGTGCGAAAGTATCGCAGAGTTTTGTATTACTGGCCCCTGATGTTATTGCAAGGCTTGCTTGATTGAGCAAGCGATGTTGCCGCATGATAAAAATAACCTCAAAAATTTGAAAATACTACCATTTTTAATGGGACTTTGGTCCCAAATTAAGCAGAAATTCCCTGAAAATTCTTGGAAAACAGTTGACAGTTTTTTGACGTGCTGGAACAAACCTATTGTCAAAGTCAATACAAACTTTTTTCCTAAATTTGCTGTTAAAAACTCATACGAACTTGTTTCTAAAATCAAAGATATCATACTTTATAAGTAAAATACTTTTTTTTTAAATACTTAAAGGCACAATCAATTCAATTATCTAAACATCATTAAAATTCAGGGTGTTAATGCAAACAACTTCCGAGATTTTTTGCTATTCATGATTACAGTTTGATTTTGCCCAGTCAGTTCTGCTTCAACTTTTGTTGCAATATACATGAGAGAATTTTTAGTTTTTACTTAATATCTCGGAAAACTAAATTTTATTTAGTAACCCTGTAAGTACCTTCATCAGAAGTGGTCACTAAAAATAGCATGTTTTTTTTTTTTGTAATTTGACCGCTTCATATCTTTTAAAGTTAGCAATAGTGGGAAATGGTATCTCGGACACCCTGTATAATAACCATATATTTCAAATACAAGGTGGTCCATTTAACTTGAGACAGCCAATAAAAGTTTTTAGTAAACTCAAAAAAAAACGCTCCCTTTTCAAGATAAGTATTAGACTATCTCAAGTTGAATAGACTATCTCATATTTACAGCTAATCAGTGTTTCGGCTAACAATAAGAGACTCAAGTACTTTAAGTCTTTAAGTCTATATACAGGATGGTTCAAAAAATGTTATGTACCAATTCTGAAATGCATTTTTCAAGCACCCTGTATGAAGTTGTAGTTTCTAGGATATGTAGAAACACCCATACACACTCATAATTCTGATTTAGGTTGTCTCAATCGACTCCCTCTTCGCCAAGATTGCTACCGCGTCGGGTTCGCGATTCAGCTGGTGCTAGTGCTCGTACCAGTGTAGTAGTTCATCGTCCAGACTCGTTAGAATCCTTCGATGTCGCCACTACTGGCAAAGAAATCAACTGGAAAGAACGATGCTTGGAATTGCAACTGGAACTACACAAAAGTCGGACGCAGGCTACAAGGACTAGGGACATGCTACGAGAAAAGGTAAGTCATTACATAATTATTGTAGAAGGTTTGCGCATTTGACAGTTGCATTATTTTTATTGAACAAGTGGTACAAATTTTAAAGGTATTCCAACTTTTGATTGCAATAGAATACTTTTGCTTTCGAATTGTAATGGTATTGGGGTTTGGTCGGACATTTCTAGTTTGAATTTGGACAGGATTGCTACTAAACCTAGTTTAACGCCCATTAATCCAAATCGGTTGCCAATGCATATACGAGGGCCTTCTCCAAATGGTATATACGATAAACAGTCTACATTAATCTTGGTTTTATCCTCAAAACGTTCTGGATCGTATTTTTGTGGGTCTGGATACAATTCTGGATTATAGTGCAACCCAAATAAGGGAATGTAAACTGGAACACCTTTTTCTATTATTAAATCATCGTCCAGTTTGTAGTTTGACGAACAAGTTCTGTCCAGAAAAGGCAATACAGGGTATTTTCTGAGACTTTCACAAACGCACATGTCTAAATATTTCATTTCGGCAACTTCGTCGTAGGTTATAGTTTTGGTTTTTTCAATGCTTTCCAAAATTTCAGTTCTAAGCCTTGTTTGTATATCAGGGCGAATGCACAGTTCGTACAAAGTGAAACTAAGTGTAGAGCTGATTGTTTCAAATCCAGCCAAATAGAATTGGAAGGCGTGGGCTACTAGATATTTTTCTTCTACAATATAATATATATATTTTTTAAATTGTTTGGTAATCTGTTATACTTACTTACCGAAATTTGATTTATTTTGGGCTTCAAGCATTATATCGATTAAATCGCTTCCTTTATTTAAACAACTTGACTTTCTTTGGTCTAAAACTTCGTTAAAAATCGCTTGTAGTCGGTTAGAAGTGTTAGGCTCTACAAAACTGATGTTGAAGGTGTGTACTAGATTTGGTGTAAACCAAGCGCTGAGGTTTCTGAATGCTGTTGAGTATCTGAAGTCAAATACACGTCTTCCAAGGTTTCTGAAATAAAATTTTAATCTACAGCACAAGAACATTATGAAAGTACTTGAAGTACAATTACAAGTTTTTTAAAATTAGGTATACTATGATTATCAAGTAAACTTGAATTTCATAAAGTAATTTACTTCAAGTGAAAACATTGAGCCTCAAGTGAAGTGGCATTACTTAAAGTATACTTTAGTACTTGAAGTAGGTATGTAAAATACTTTAAATAAATTACTTGAACTGATTTTGGTAGGTACTTCAAATATCTAAAATCTGTTCAAAATATAAGACAATTTTTAGTATTTTTCTCAGTTATTCACAATATAATTCGATCCTCATTCTATTGTGGTATCTTATCAGAGACTAAAAGTAATAAAAATACTCAGGTGCTTTGGTGCTTAGTAATTTTTCATTATAAGGTGCGCTGATTCAAGTGAAATTTTGTATGTCTCAGTTCTAAAAATCAAGCAGGGCATGATTCCAAAATAGGTACAGGGTATTTGATTATATTTAAGTAGTAGTAGTATACCTACTCTACTTTACTGAACTCAGTATCGTTTAAGGTTTTCGAGAAAATCGATTTTGAAGTTTTGGACAAAATGTCGACCAAATTTCAATTTTGAAGCTCAATATCCCGGAAACTTCGCAAGTTACAAAAACCAATTTTGCAGAGCTTATAGTCAGAGAATTTATGTAAAAAAAGAAACTTATTAATTATAAGTGGGTAATCAAAATTCTTCTAGCAAAATACCTACTTGACATAATCAAGAAATTTTTTAAAATATTTTAGAATGGAAGTACAAGTACAAGTACCTAACAGAAAAAGTAATTCAAGTAAAATACTTAAAGTACCTACTTATATGTACTTGAAGCAGAATTTCAAGTAATTTACTTCAAATATTGACAGCTCTGACTTGGGCCCGCAAAAAGAGGCCAAATTATTACCTGAATTCAGCATCATCACTTTGAAACGATTGCGCATCTACTGAAAAGGCACACCTAGCAATAACATTTGTAGAATACTTAGCACATATTTCCTTAGATTCAACATTAGCCACATTAACCCTTTCAGCAATATAATCAACCATCCTCTCGCTTTCCTTCTTAATCACTTCAAACATCAGCTTCAATTTCCCAGTAGTAAACACTGGAGTCACTTTACTTCTCGAATTCTTCCATTCGGGATTGTCACTAAAAAACATCAAATTTGACATGATGGGGTCGTGTTTTGACCCTGTAGCCGATCGGTTTTGGAAGTGGACAAAGTCCTTTTGTAGAATGTTTTTGATTAATTTCGGGGATTGGACTACAAGAACTGGCTGGTCTAAGACAAAAATTCCAAAATAGTCGTCTTTTTGCTGACGGCTGAGATCGCTCAGCCATTCTCCAAAGGTTTGTTTGAGGCGAAATAGAGGTAGTAAACTGCCTAGGATTGGTATTGGTTTTACGTAGTTTACTTTTCGGATTTTCCAATAGTTGAATTTTCTTGTTGAATATTTGTATAGAAGTATTGTTGATAGGGCTAGCAATATTAGTAAAATTGCAAGCATCTAAAAAAGAACATATTATGTATGTATATGCAATTAAAAAATCCTTACCTTTATTAATTTATTGAAATACGTAAATAATCGAAAAATTTAATACAAAACCTTCTTCTACAATGATATGGAGTTTTATAGCAAAATCTCCTACCCATTTGCTTTTTTTTTCGCTTAACATAACATTTTGCGTCATAAAATAATTGTTATCTTTAACCTGTGCTAAAAAGGATGAACTTGGATTCATCATAATAACGAACATTTAATGTATATCATTCAGAAACGGATTTAAGAATAATTAACCGAAAAAAATTAACTACTTATAATGTCTCTATAATAGAGATAAATTACAGGGCCTGATGAACATGCGATGCGATTTTAAAATTTTGTTAATGTTGGGGTATATTTTTTTCTGATATGTAATTAGGTTTTGTTTAATGGGATATTTTAATTGAATTCCGTTCTGGTTGACAATCTCATTTATTATTTTAACGTAAGATCATTACTTACGTACCTACGAAATTATTTTTGATAAAAACCTTTCGGCTTTATTACAAGTATTAGTAAGGAAAATCGAAAAATGCATCTCACATAATTTTCAGATTTTCAAAAAATGCAAATCATAAGGCTAAAGTATTCAAATGATGAAATTTAAAATTTTTTTATGTGGAAATTTTGTGTCTAAATGATCATTCGGGATCTCCCAAACTCCATACACTAAAATATTCTGAGATTTGAAGCCAAAATCTATAAAAAAAGCCACTCAGAAAATCGATAAATTCACCAATTTATCCCAAATTGCTTAATGCAATTTTATTTCTGAAACTATAAGTTCAAATCAGCTGAAATTTTCAGGGATTGTAGTTCTCTACTGGAATAAGGATCGCTAACAATTTCAGCTTTCTATCTCTAATAGAAAAAAAGTTACGACCTTTCAAAGTTTTCCAAAATCTAAATCATAAGGTAGCTAACTTCTTACTAAAACGATGAAATTTCAAATTTTTTTTTTGTTGAGATTTTGTGTCCTCATGGTCCTTTGTGATACCCCAAACTCCATTCACTAAATTATTCTCAGATTTAAAGCCGCAATCTATGAAAAAAGGCACTAAGAAAAATTGAAAAATTGATAAATCACCCCAAATTGCTTAACACGATTTTATCTTAGGAACCATAAGTCCAAATGAGTTAAAATTTTCAGGGATTGTAGTCCTTTGGAAGGGATAAAATTCAGTGAAAATTTCAGTTTTCTATCTTCAATAGAAAAAAAGTTATGACCTTCCAAAGTTTTCTAAAATCTAAATCATAAGGTAAACTAAATAGATGAAATTTCAAATTTTTTTTGTTGAGGTTTTGTGTCCCAATGGTTATTTGGGATCCCACAAACTCCATACACCAAATTATTCTCAGATTTGAAGCCGAAATCTATGAAAAAATGCACTCAGAAAAATTGAAAAATAGATAAATCACACCAAATTGCTTAACACGATTTTATCTCAGGAACTATAGGTCCAAATGAGTTGAAATTTTCAGGGATTGTAGTCCTCTACTAGAATAAGAATCGCTGGAAATTTCAGCCTTATATCTTCAATAGAAAAAAAGTTATGACTTTCATAAGTTTTCTAAAATCTAAATCATAAGGTACCTTCTTACTAAATGGATGAAATTTCAAATTTTTTTCTGTTGAGATTATGTGTCCTAATGGTCATTTGGGATCCCTAAGTCCAAATGAGTTAAAATTTCCAGGGATTGTAGTCCCCTACTGGAATAAAAATCGCTGAAAATTTCAGCCTTATATCTTTAATAGAAAAGAAGTTATGACTTTCCAAATTTTCTAAAATCTAAATCATAAGGTAGGTACCTTCTTACTAAATGGATGAAATTTCAAATTTTTTTTGTTGAGGTTTTGTGTCCCAATGGTTATTTGGGATCCCACAAACTCCATACACCAAATTATTCTCAGATTTGAAGCCGAAATCTATGAAAAAATGCACTCAGAAAAATTGAAAAATAGATAAATCACCCCAAATTGCTTTACACGATTTTATCTTAGGAACTATAAGTCCAAATGAGTTGAAATTTTCAGGGATTGTAGTCCTCTACTGGAATAAAAATCGCTGAAAATTTCAGCCTTATATCTTTAATAGAAAAGAAGTTATGACTTTCCAAATTTTCTAAAATCTAAATCATAAGGTAGGTACCTTCTTACTAAATAGATAAAATTTCAATTTTTTTTCTGTTGAGATTATGTGTCCTAATGGTCATTTGGGATTCCATAAACTCCACACACTAAATTATTCTCAGATTTGAAGCCGAAATCTATGAAAAAGGCACTCAGAAAAATTGAAAAATTGATAAATCACCCCAAATTGCTTAACACGATCCAAATGAGTTAAAATTTTCAGGGATTGTAGTCCTCTACTGGAATAAAAATCGCTGAAAATTTCAGCCTTATATCTTTAATAGAAAAAAAGTTATGACTTTCCAAAGTTTTCTAAAATCTAAATCATAAGGTAAACTAAATACTTAGATGAAATTTCAAATTTTTTTTGTTGAGGTTTTGTGTCCCAATGGTTATTTGGGATCCCACAAACTCCATACACTAAATTATTCTCAGATTTGAAGCCGAAATTTATGAAAAAGGCACTCAGAAAAATTGAAAAATTGATAAATCACCCCAAATTGCTTAACACGAGGGGTCAACAGCTGTGGATTTCTAGTGTACGCCCGTGTAGATGTCATGGATTTCTATAATTCTTGTGGATGTCTATAGATTTCCATAGTTATCCGTGAATATCCCTGGATTTTTGTGAATTTCCATGGATATTCGTGGATTTCAGTAAATTTCTGCTATCTGCCCCTTATTGTCTTGTCGTTTGATGCCAACGATGTCTCAAAAAGATGGAAATATATGAAAGAAAACTTGGAGAGGCGAGGTATAACTTTACTAGATTTCTCCAGTGATGCCAGTGATGGCAATATTCTTCTATTAAAAGCAATGCGCCAACATGCTTCACTTCCACCAGCGTTTCAAACACAGACTAATGGCAGCACAAGTTATACATTAAATGGTATCAGGCAGGATAATATGGGAATAATTTTTCCGACATACTTTACATATCGCAACAAAACTGCACACAAAATTCCTTAATCCTAAAACGGTTTTAACAATGGGATCCTATACTGCAGAACCTGCGCATATGGACCAGCTAATTCCAAAATTTTCAAAGGAAAACATTTGTAAACAGCCTCGGATTTAGAGGCGAAGATAAGATGGGCTTCTCTGCGTAAAAGCTGTGTTCTGAATCAGTAATTTAGTTGCTTGAAAGTATTCAAGAAAGTGAAGATGATAAGACATCTTACATGGACCATGCGTTAGATGTACAAGGCCGGCTTCACAAAATATAGTTTTGTGTATTTTTTTCCGGATTTGGCGTAGATGGCTAGCTGAACAGGTGTGCCGCAAGATCGATGACAATTGTATCACCTCAAATTGTTACCTATGTATTGAGCTCATGCTCTCATCAATATTTCCACCAATTTATGTGAAAATTCAAATCTGACAAATGATACGTTCCTTCCTAGTCAGAAGTACGGAAAGATATTCAGAGCAATAAGGTCTATGACCACAACATATTCAACTATAGTCAACTTCAGCATAAGAGATATTATTCCTAGACTGGACAGAATCGCAACTATAAAAGATACTATGAATAGGCTGAGAAGAATTTTCTTGACAAAGTCATAATAACGCTAAGAAAAAGCACTATTCATGGTTCTATCAAGCCCAACAAGAAGATTTTACCAAATAGAACAAAGATTACAAATCAGCGACGGTGCTCATCTATTCGCAGCAGGAATTCAAACAAAAAATCAACTTCTAACTCCGAAACTTCAGACAATGACCAAATGAATGTCAAATGCGATGACAGCATAGACACTGAATCTTTTTCTGATGAAACCAGTGAGAAATAATAATTGATTGGGATAATGTCTTTTCCTACGAGCGTGCGCAAAGTAGTACTTTTCCGCACGCATTATCGTTCTCAAAGTTACACTTTTCCGCACTCAGTGCGGATACGGGCCTTATCCGCACTGAGTGCCGAAAAGTAAAAATAATTGTCAAGCACCTGTCGACTTTGACACATGATGACAAATTTTTCCTCTGTTTCTATAGGTATCAGCCAACATCTATACAAACACTGAATATAATAAACTTTGACACATTGTCAGATTTGTGTTCTCAATTTACATGCAAGAATCTACAAACTTCTTTCGCATCAAATTTAAACGCTTTAAGATGAACAGCTCTGACGAGGATTTCAATTTCCTGTTTTTTTGTTATGTAATTTTTTGATAAATGAATAGTTTCGCTTCAGGTTAATTGAAAATAATTGAACAAATTATCGTTTTTTTTTTAAATTGTTGTTGTTACCTACCTGATATGAGGCTCGTAGGAAAAATTTTGTTCCTAACACGTGCGCAAAGTTTCTTTTCCGCACGCAAACACTCATCCGAACTCCGCTGCGCGTCGTTCGTATAACTGTGTTTGCGTGCGGAAAAGTAACACTTTGCGCACTTGTTAGGAAAATAACTATATCAAATCATCCTGCAACCAATATGACATCTTCGACTGATTTTTTTTTTTTTTTTTTTTTACGGATATGCGCACTCGCAAGGAAATGTCCTATCACGCTCGAGAAGCGGCAAGTGCGCGGAAATGTCGGTGTATGTTGGTCTTGAAACGGTTCAGGTTGTAACCTGCAGGGAAAACCGTCGCAGGGAGTTTATTCTACAGCGATGCTGTTCTCCAGAGATATGAATTCTGATATAATGAGGTTCTTGGTGCCTCTAGTTTGACAGTAAATTCATGGTTACCGTCTGTTTGACGGGTTCGCCTGGTAGGTGCTACTCTCGGTGGAATCATACGTGCCAACTTTTCAGAGCATTTTCCGTGATAGTACCTGTAGAAGAGAGATAAATCGCCCACAGATCTGCGATGTTCGAGACCATCCAAGTTACGAGTAAGTGCGGGGTCATTGATCAGCTTGATAGCTCGTTTTTGCACGGTATTCAAAAGCATTAAGGTATGTTTGGGTGCTGCACTCAATATATGTGAGCAGTACTCCATAGGTGGTCGAATTTGGGCTTTGTAGAGTGTCAGCAATTGGCTTGGTGTGTACAGATGTCTTGTACGAAATAGCACCCCCAGCTTTTGGGAGGCCCTTTTAGCAATATCTGTCACGTGAC